GACGCTTCACGTTAAATTTAGCTCCCGAAATGAAGTTGGCATGAAGGAACGTTAGCTACAAGAGACCATAGCAATGTAACGTTAGCATATCCGGTGCCATGCTAGTCACATTTTGTAGTTACCTAATGCCTGTTGGATTGTGTTCCTCTTTCTAAGAACACTTTTCGTATTCTCTGTATGATTATTATCCATTCGTTTGTAATGTGGGTTAACCCTGAAAAGATGGTGTTTTATGAAACTTACGACAACGTTAGTACAAAATGGCACAAGCCCATTTACACGCGTTCTCTCAAAGGCTTGCACACAAACTTCGATCACTCAGTTAGTCGCTGCCTTTGTAATGTCTGAGCAGTGCGATGTAACGCTGCCTAATATACTTACAACAGATCACGTCTGTAAAGATAACTGAAACGCTGAGTGGTTTAGCGCTATATTCTGAAGACGGCTTCCCATCCCTTCCCCTTCTGGAGTGCGTGCAATCAATGAAAAGACTGGTAGGGTTTCAGCTTCCAGATTAAATAGGCTTCAGTTGTGGCGCATTTTCGCCCCCTTCAGGAAGAAGAGGGAAGTTTAACGCGCACTGTCGCCGCCTGGTGATGTACAGTATGCGTTGGATTTGTGTTCACTCCACGGATCATCATGGGATTCATATCACTCCGCTAGTTTCACCGTAACCTATTTCCAATGTAAAACATGGTCAGAAAATCTTAAGAGATGTATGCAATTTTAAATTGCATTTTTTTTGTTTGGTTTGTGTCAAATGGCTCAGTTTAAGGCAATTTATGTCAGTTTGTTTTTATAAACATATATATTTTGTATTTATGAAATTGTTTTACATTTATTATATATAGTGTTACTTTTGTGCATATGCTTAATAACTTACATTTGTATAGTTTCCGTATACATCAGTGCATGCATGTTATAAATTTTGACCTATTTTTAAATCCTTTTTTGTACAGTGCCTTGCGAAAGTATTCAGCCCCCTTGAACTTTGCGACCTTTTGCCACATTTCAGGCTTCAAACATAAAGATATAAAACTGTAATTTTTTGTGAAGAATCAACAACAAGTGGGACACAATCATGAAGTGGAACGAAATTTATTGGATATTTCAAACTTTTTTAACAAATAAAAAACTGAAAAATTGGGGCATGCAAAATTATTCAGCCCCCTTAAGTTAATACTTTGTAGCACCACCTTTTGCTGCGATTACAGCTGTAAGTCGCTTGGGGTATGTCTCTATCAGTTTTGCACATCAAGAGACTTAAATTTTGCCCATTCCTCCTTGCAAAACAGCTCGAGCTCAGTGAGGTTGGATAGAGAGCGTTTGTGAACAGCAGTTTTCAGTTCTTTCCACAGATTCTCGATTGGATTCAGGTCTGGACTTTGACTTGGCCATTCTAACACCTGGATATGTTTATTTGTGAACCATTCCATTGTAGATTTTGCTTTATGTTTTGGATCAGTGTCTTGTTGGAAGACAAATCTCCGTCCCAGTCTCAGGTCTTTTGCAGACTCCATCAGGTTTCCATCCAGAATGGTCCTGTATTTGGCTCCATCCATCTTCCCATCAAGTTTAACCATCTTCCCTGTCCCTGCTAAAGAAAAGCAGGCCCAAACCATGATGCTGCCACCACCATGTTTGACAGTGGGGATGGTGTGTTCAGGGTGATGAGCTGTGTTGCTTTTACGCCAAACATAACATTTTGCATTGTTGCCAAAAAGTTCGATTTTGGTTTCATCTGACCAGAGCACCTGGACAGGGAAGATGGTTCAAATTGATGGGAAGATGGATGGAGCCAAATACAGGACCATTTTGGAAGGAAACCTGATGGAGTCTGCAAAAGACCTGAGACTGGGACGGAGATTTGTCTTCCAACAAGACAATGATCCAAAACATAAAGCAAAATCTACAATGGAATGGTTCACAAATAAACATATCCAGGTGTTAGAATGGCCAAGTCAAAGTCCAGACCTGAATCCAGTCGAGAATCTGTGGAAAGAACTGAAAACTGCTGTTCACAAACGCTCTCTATCCAACCTCACTGAGCTCGAGCTGTTTTGCAAGGAGGAATGGGCAAAAATTTCCGTCTCTCGATGTGCAAAACTGATAGAGACATACCCCAAGCGATTTACAGCTGTAATCGCAGCAAAAGGTGGCGCTACAAAGTATTAACTTAAGGGGGCTGAATAATTTTGCACGCCCAATTTTTCAGTTTTTTATTTGTTAAAAAAGTTTGACATATCCAATAAATTTCGTTCCACTTCATGATTGTGTCCCACTTGTTGTTGATTCTTCGCAAAAAATTACAGTTTTATATCTTTATGTTTGAAGCCTGAAATGTGGCAAAAGGTCGCAAAGTTCAAGGGGGCCGAATACTTTCGCAAGGCACTGTATATTATAGTGTACTTCACTGCAGTATATTACTAGGCTATACATTGTATATGTATATAAGCTACTATTAGGCTTTAATGCTATTCCACTTTGCTTAGGAATATGAGGAAACTACTATTTGTTAAGATCAGTGTTTTGCACAGATGTGACATTAATGCACATTAGCAAACCGGCCTTGGGTATTGCACTGTATATAGCCTTGTAATTTACATATATCATAAGCCTATCATTTTTGTACTTATTCATTATGTGCCTATTATATCTGCATATAGCTTTCCAAATGTAATATAAAGTTTCTGTTACAGTGGATGTGCTTACTTTCTTGCTCTGTAGTCTAGTATTTAAAAAAAATCAAGTTCTCTTTTTTTTTTTTTAACCTCTTTCCTTTTCACTTTGCTGTAGTCAGTTTCAGGAGAAGGGTTTTACCTTAAACCAAGTTATTATTGCCGTTGTTGTTACTTGTGGTAGTGTTATTGCAGTGAAACAGTGATTAGGTTAATGGGACAAAACTGGTAAAAATAAAACAGGGCAGACATAAAAAAATGTTGAGTATTTGACAAACACGCATGTGCAAGACACGCACACCCTCCTCTGATTCCATCACTCCTTAACTGAACCAGTTTCTTCTAGCAGCTTCCTGTGGATTTATATGAAGGTGTGGAGGTGCCAAAGAAGACTTGAGCACAGGTAACCTTAGCCTTAATTTTAGGATGACATCATATATGTGTGTAAAGTCAATTGTGTGTGGGCTACTAATAACTCATGTTAATTAGTGACGCCAGTCATTACTGTCTCAGAGAACCAATTAAATCTAGTTCTCTAGTAGCTGAATGAAGAACTAACAGTTAGGGTTAATGTTGCCTGAAATAATGTGTTCCTAATTCAAATGAACATTTTGCTTAGTCTTCCACAGGCAGACGGTGAGGCAGCAGCCCAGCTATGTTTAGAGCAGTGTTTGGGAACAAGAGAGAGGGAGGTGGAAAATGCAGAGACAAAAAGATCCAGAGACATCCAGGTAAGTTATAATATAATCTCTGGGCTTGTATGTTGATCTTGCCTTAATGACATTTTATCACAGTTTTTTGTTTTTGTTTATTTGTGTGCGTGTCAGTCACTGATCACAAAAACAGTATGGGGGTAGGTTTATCTTATGTTGTACACACTAGGCCTGGCATTATTTGATGGAAATATTCAGGTTGTCTTCTCTTGGGTGATGTAAGTAAAGCCATTTCAATTAGCCTAATTCATCGGCGCATTCTGTCCTTCACACAGTGTCCCGCTGCTTGCATTTAAAGTGTGTCAGACGAAGTTAGAGTGGGTTAGGCAAACATCCTGACCTACTAAAAACATTCTGAATTTCACCCAAATTTATGAGTGGGTTATAAGGCAGTGAGATTAACATCGTACGCCTGATGTAAGCATGCTGAATGTTTTGTAGTATTGTCACTGAAATGTGAACTGAAAGATTTGTTGAACAAGTTGGATATGTTGCTGTTGAAATGGAGCTATCTGTATATTTCACTGGACAAACTTGTCAACTTGCTGCAGTACAGAGGGGATTTTAGACCGTGCAGTGGACCTAGATGGACATAAGTAGAGCTCAGTATTAGAGCAAACATGTTGGTCATTAATATTGTATAATGTGCTGCTCTGGGTAGCAAAAGCAGAGGGGATGATAGAAAACTGTGCTGGGTCTCATTAAAATGATAGACTGTGTTTACAGTACATTGACATGACTGATCATTTGAAATCATTTCTGCACAAAAGCTGATCATTAAAAGTTTTAATGATCCTTCTACCCTTTTTGTAATATTAGGTAGTAGCCATCTGAGTTCTGGTTTTGCTCATGGCAATAACTGTCATGATCCAACCCCTCCCTGCCTCCTGTTCACCCAGACTCCTGGTAATGTCACCTCATCAAGCACAGTGGTTTCACCTGTGCTTTAATCCTGTACACCTGTTCTCCACAGTATATAGCTGCTGAATTGTTCTATGCCCCATCTAGACTTTCCAGCGTTACCTACTTTTGTACCCTACCACCCGGATATCGACACCCTGCCTGTTATACCGACCTGTGAGTTTGCTGCTTCCCTCCTGTTCATCCGCTCTCCTGAGACTGACATCCTGCCTGTTAGACCAACCTGCGATTCTGCCTTGCCTACCCTGCTGCCTTGCTGGAGATTACAACCCTGTCACCTGCTTTGTCCCTTAGGACTGTTACTGTTCCCGGCTGTTTCAAAGAAAGACATTAAAACCAATTCTCCGGTCTCAGCTTGCTGGTTCTTTAATAGGGTTCACACACCTACCTTCACAGGAGCTGTGCACTCCAGCTTCCTGACAATATCGGACAAAAAACAGATTCACTTAAGATAGAAGGAGGTGAAAAACTAAATTATGCCACAGAGAAAACTACTGCAATCTGGTATAACCAATATACTGCAAGTGGCAATAAGGTCTTTGTAATCACATGCCTTTGGGAGTTCTCATGTACAGCTCTCATACTGGCTGCAATAAGAGTGGACATGAAAATGATTGAAATATGTTAAGTATGACCTGTTTGCTGAGCATTCCTTTAAATAGATATTCTGGCATTGCCAATTTCCATTATGTCATTTGGCAGTAGGCCTCCAACATGTAATATGTTCGGTTTATGTTGCAGCCTTATGTGAGATGTATTTCATGCTGTTCTCTCTGTGATGTTGTTGTACAGGTGCAGTTCTGTTGACCCAACTCCAACTATGCTGGAGCTTTCTAAGTGATGCTTCTTTAATCCTGACACCTGCTTTTCTCTATCTTTTCTCTGCACACACCCATATTTTCCATATAGGAAGTGAGGTGTACACTCACTGCACCTTGCAGACGGATAGCAGCGGGCGTGCCTCACACCTCGAGGATGATAACATCAGCCACACTGAAAGCCCAGTAAAAGTGATGAGACTGACCAAGGGTGTGTCCACTTCTTTACCATCCTCCCCTCTTCTCCCTCACCTTACCAACATGGTTCACTCCCAGTCATGCATCAGGTTCCCAGGTAGGTTAAACTGAAATAGTAATAATGATAAACACAAAGCATGGTTTCAAAACGAGCAGCTGAGAATGACAAGCTGCGCATCAGGAAATAGCTGAAAGCAAGAGAATCCTTTGATGGGTTTGCCTTGATCAGCTGAGAGCTTCTGTGCATTCAGCTGTTCCATATATGTGACAGCGAGCACCAGCACTTAGACTATGACCCCAAGGCCCCAAAACATGACAGACTGTCAGTGTAAATGATTGAGCAAAATAACTAAATGAAAGGAACCCCAATTAGGAAGGTTGATTTTTGAGATGCTAATATTAGTCTATAGGACCTATACTTTTTAAAACATCCCAAAAAACGATTAAAAACAACTGATGGTGTTTTGACAAAATGATTAAAATCTTTACTCAGTGTTCACTTAATAGTAAAATAATAATAATGATAACTGCTTACCCCAATGTGTGCAAAAACAAACTCAAATCATTCATATACATATTAAATTTTAATTTAATTTGAGCTCAGTGACACTTTCGTCTTTCAGCGGTTGAATGTGAAATCAGCCTTGTTGAAATCAACCATCATGAAAATGAAGCAATAATAACAAAACATTCTGTATTTTGAGCAGAGGTGGATTTTAATAGTTTAATATCTTTTTTAATTGCAGTTTATGGCATATCTTACTCAAAAAATCAGTAAATGTAAATATTTCTTACAGTGTACATCTGGTTTCATTTATTCATTTTATCAAAATACGTTTTTTTCCACTCTGTCCATTTCTCTTTTTTTTTTTTTTTTGCTCACCAAAATAAAGTTTAAACACATTTTGTAACAAATTACTTTATTCAGTTATTTTATTAACTAGTTATTTGAAAACATAATTACCTAAAAATGAATATCAAAGGTTCTATAACAGTTTTAATCACAGTTTCTATAACAGTTTTAATCAGAGTCCCTCATAACTATTGGATGAATAGAAAATGAACTTTGTTTACCTGAGGGACCTCACCTTAAAAGAAGCACTAGATGGCAGTGTCTTGCAGTAAGTGCAGCATTCAGATAAAGGCGCTATTACATTTCATTGCATGCAGCACTGACTTGTTTTTTCCTCTGTGCACTGAACGAACATCACAAGGAAAATTACACCAAGTAAAAATATATCATGTCCTGACCTTCATGTTTTTGGTGGTCATGCAAAATCAAATATTCAACTATACGTTAGACTGCACAGTGCTTTTTAGTTGCTGTTGTGGAGTCTATTCACATGCATGATTTGAACATAGAAAAACCTTGAGTGTAAAAATTCACTGCATTTCAGTGTTCACAGACATTTCCTCCTTGTGAATGATCTCCAGTCTTAAATATGCTGTGTTTCCAAGAACACTCAGATGTTGTTGCATAAATTGAGACACACCCACACACATAAATGAGTGCACTGCTGTCCCTGCCATCTCTCTCACACACACACACACACACACACACACACACACACACACAATAGCACTTCTAATATATTATAGATAAATACCCATGGTATAGTGAATACTGTACTGTTTGCATGCATGGCTTGCACTCTCTACATAGTGCTATATACTCCTGGGACACAATTCAAATTCTGCACCACAGATCTCATCTGAGGAGGTTTAATCCCCCCCCTGCACACACTTTCTTTCATATTCCTTCCTATCTCCGCCCTCAATCCTTCCCTCCCACCCTGCCTGCTCTCCCTCCCTCTCCGTTCTCCCTTTTTGCTGTGGCCGAAGGACGGGTAAAGAAGCTGGAGTATGTGGATGGCTCTTCCAGTACAAGAGAACCTCTTGTCTTTGCCTCGTGCTGTGGCAAGACAGACCACAGAGGTGAGAACAGCAGCGTGTGGGTGTGTACTTAACATCGTGTCTGTTTTTCCAGGTATTGATCAGTGAAGCTGATCAGTGAAGCTGCAGTGCTAATTCTGGGGTAAAGGTGAGAAGTGGGAATGAATGGTGAGATACAAGAGAAAACGAGTGTGTATGTGTATTTTAATTGTATCTAAAAAAGCTTTGCATTAAGTTTTTTCTTTACTGACAGTGCTGTCTATCTAATTCTCAGTGTAATATTGAGAGTGGATTTGTTTTATCAGTTTCTCTGGAGCCTCTGCCCCGACTTCTCTGCATGTTGCTTGTCCAGTTAAGGTCACATTAAAGCAATAACAGTAAATACCCACATCTCAGCCAGCTTTCTATGTGTTTTTAACCAGAAGGCTACCCTTAGGCTAAACAGATTTTATGAGGCATCTTCCAGCCCGGTTGCCAGGCACCTCTCAGCTTCCCGTTTCCAATGGCAACTGCTGGGAGGTTTGATGAATAGTACTGGACATTCAGTGTGTGTCCTCAAGTTACTCCAGATTGGATCGCAGTGCACTGCTGACTAAATGCAAAGTTTTCTCTCCACCCCCTCTCTGAAATACACATCCACCCGTTCTACCTAAGTCTTCAGCAGTTTTTCAAGCTGTGAAGTAAAAAGAGTATTGACAAATGCTGTAACTGTGGCACCTTATGGAACACAAATGGCTAGGCTTGCCTCCCAAAATTGACCTTTATCCTTTTAAGGCTTGGCTTATGTTTAGCCCCCAATTTGATTGAATGTAGGAACGATGTGATGTAGTGCCTTTGAAAGGAGAGAGTGAAACAGGGAACAGAATGAGAAAAAATCAGTGGAGGGAGTGCGAAATGAATGTGATGGCTAAACGCAAAGATGTTTGTGAGGAGGAGTGAGCTGTTCCTGTAATCTGTGATGTCCTGTCATCCTGTTTGTATGCCTACTTAATATGCATGTTACTCAGCTGATAACAGTACGTAGATGAGGCGTGAAAACAGGCAAAGATTTTGCTCAGCCAGTTGAAGCACAGAGATGTGAAAACTGTTAAAGCCATACTCTGCAGAGGTGAGTGTGGACCTTAGAGGAGCTGGAGTTGGAGGTCAAGACATCAGGGAGCATTAAATAGTGACAAATGAATGCAGCACATGGCTTGTGTCAGCCAATCTCTCCAGGAGCAACAGTGAAGGCAGAGCCAGAGCACTCCTTCTTTCAACACTAGGCTCATTGAAATTCACAAGCAGTCTCTTAACTGAGAGCACCTGGCAGTCGTGTGCACGGGTAAACTCACAACCTCACACAACCTCTTGCTGCTGCCTCAGTCACGGACTGGAAAGCCACTGTCCGTGCATTCGTAATCAGGCCAGCTGGGGCTGTGCTGACCTGTGGATGCATTTCTCACAGTCCACTTGCAATGCTATTGGGTGGCAACCTTACGAGTGAGCTGTGTTGAAACAAGAGCATCAGTTAGATGGCGGTTTGGCCTGCCATGTTTCCATTTTTTTGTTAATCGGTGTGTTTTCCAGACCTCCACGTGGAGCCCCAGCTGGGCTCCTCCCTTTCTACCCAGGAACTGATGACCAGACTATGCTTGTTACTGGGAGAAGCAACGCCTGGCACTGCTAACTCTCCTATGGAGGACAGGAAGGAAAAGAAGGTAGGGCATATTAATTCACTGACTCTTTGGTGTCGTGTCATACAGAGAGGTGATGGATGGTTTATGAAACAAGCTCTTTTTTTTTCTTTTAGTCCTCACAATGCTGTCAGGATCTTAGATTCTCTTTAAAACATTTAAATATTACTTACCGAAGATTATTGTTGTTTTAAATTTAGTTGTGTACAAGGAAATATACTGTCTTAAATAATGTGTGTAATTTGACCACTCAAATCCCTCTGGGAAAAATGGATTGATACGTACATACAGTATTTTGGAACATTATTAATTGTGTTGTTATTCTACCGAGCTCTGTTTCTACGCTTGCTATTCTATTAGCTCAACCCCTGTGTATTAGAGTCACTGTATGTGCTGATGTCTCTCTGTCTCTGTGCTTTTGCATTGCTCAGCCTTGGCCCATTTTCTCAGCCTCATTCCACCACCTGAGCTCTAGATTGAGTCAGTTTTACAGAGATAGTGAGGTTCATATGAGGAATGTGGGTTGTCCTGGCTAAGATAGATGATGTTCTTTTATAAAGGGAATAACAGTGAGATGTTTCAACTCTGCTGCCTTGTCTCCCTACAGTCCCTCTGTTGCTGAACTGTAGCATCAGTAACAAAGAGTCCTGAAATGCATGTGATCAAACTACAAGAATAAGAAATATGAAAAGCTGTTTTCCTTGGAAAATATGTCCATTCATTACCAAAAATGCCTTAAGATGCTATGCAAATAATATGATCTTTTTTAGAACATTTGACATTTATTGGTAAAAAGTCACATACATTAGTAAATTGTTGAAGTACTTTAACTGATTTTTAAAGGCTGATTAAAAGAATTCCCTTTTTAGGGATGAAAGTAAATACCAAACTAAAATATATACAGGTGGGTAACAAAGGAAAGAAAATACTACAGAATTAAACCAATTAAACCGACACCTCTTAGACAGTCTAAAGTAAATTTTAATATACTTAATAAGCTTCATAAAATATGATGTTTTTTGCAGGGCTGCTATAGTAGCTTGCAATATATTATGTAACTGGATTGGTTGTTTTGTATACACACCACTGAGCTGCTGAGATGGAGCTGTAATAACTCCTTGAACAACAATCTCAACTTTTTTTTTTCAACCTGGCTATATGTAGTTTTTTACACTATGATGAATCATTGTGTTCAGAATCTGTAGTTTTACATGTAGTTTCTCCAAATTGCCATCTAAAACACACACAGTGCTAATTCCAATGAGCAACAGAAGCAGATCATATGAACATTGTAACACACTCTGTAATGGTACCTTCATCCAATGTCAGACCTTCCATTTTCTGAAATTATATTGTAGTATTACAGTAGCTGTGTAATCTTATCTAGTACCCTCATACAGGCAGTCAGATGGTGTGCTTATTGGATTTCTATAATTTAAGGTACATCCTGACATTTGCAAAAAAAAATCTTTTCATTTTGTCTTTGTGAAATCAACCCCATGTGGAACAGTAGAATGTGTGTGCAAATTGTAATTGTAAATGTCTACAGCAAGTGATTTAGTTTTGAACACAACCAGCCGTCATTATAAAAAAACTGGGAAAATAACAGTCAGGATGAAAATTAGCTGAAATTATCCCATCATTTCCTATCTGCATGTACACTCGCACGTTCTCAGTAACGTCACACAAAATAGTGTACATGAAGGCAGATACTGTCATGCAGAGTGGAGAACTGTTCAAAAAGGTGGCAATTGACCCTGTTAATTTACTATCACAATAGCAAAATATTACATTTGTATTTCTCTTTCACAAAGTTGATCAGCTTTTCCTATTCTCTCTTTATAGACGTCTTAATGTCTTGCCTATTTATCCTTCTTGGTTGTTTATGCAGTGTGATACCTCTGCCCTTGGGGGCAGTCCCAGCTCCACCCTGACCTGCAGCACTGCCTCCCCCTGTTCAGACAGCCCCTCTTCCACCTTGAGCACCAGTGCTGGATGCCAGCAGCCTTTACCCTTACTTTCAACCCACTGCGGTTCCAGTTCCAGCCCCAGTGGGACCCTTCCCAGGCCTGCCACTTGTCCTGCTCCTGGTTCAATCACCAAGAACAGCCCTGGGCCTCCTTCTCAAAGCCCGACCTCCACCCTGGAGAGCAAGGATAGTGGAATCATAGGTAAGAGTTTCTACCATTGGGAATCCTGGCCAGAATGTCTTTCCACATTGTATGGGTTCACATTGGTTTTTTACACCAGATGAAGTATGTCCGATACAAAAACTTAGCCACGCATCACAGGAAGTAAAAAAAAAAAAGAAAAGAAAAAACATCAGTGGCCTATTTAACTCAACGTGGAACTACTTATCTTACCAAAAATCTCAAATATGAGTGATGGCTTTAAAGTTCCACATCTCGCTATATAGTGGTAAGAAGTTAGATGCAACAATATTTTGTTTTATGCATTTGTCAAATGTCTACCCCTACCCCACAGCTAGTTTCTCTGTGTCACTTCAGCCTCAAGGCTTTAGCTCCCTCCTGTCAAAACTGGGACACTGCTGTCTTTGTTGCTCATGGGTTTGATTCTCCTAAAATAGAACACTTTTTTCTCCCTAAATAGTTTATATTTAAATACAAAAGAGCAATTACAAAAGAAATTCACTGATTGATGAGTTTTGTGTGTACAGCCGATAAAACATTTAGGTATATTTTATTATTGATTGGCTAAATGTGATTTGTTGAAGGCAATGCTTAGTTTTAGTTTCAAATTTATCTGCTCAAGTAAGCAGTTGCATGTCATATGTTCTTCTTTAGAAGTATGATTCAGTTTTCTTGTTTTTGGCTACCTTACCTAAGCCTTTTTTATTTTTTATTTTTTTATGTGACTCAGCAACCATCACTAGTTCTTCAGAGAATGAGGAACGCAGTGCCTCCAGTGAGGTTCCAACTAAGGATGAAGACCCAGGGATTGGTGCTGGGGTAATGGGTCGTGCAAGTGAGGGCCACCACCCTGGACCAACCAGGGACAATCTGGCCGTTCAACCAGATGAGGCCTTACCTAGAACTGACATCATGGAGCCCAGGACTCCACCAGCACCAAAAAGACCTCTTCCACAGCACCACGTACACAGCGCATACTCCCTTGCGTTACCCCGTCCAAATTCTGTGGCAGGTATGTTTACCTTTTCTTATGTTGTTCACTTGTTATTCTGTGATTAAAGGGATAGTTTGATATATTCACCTTCTTGCTGAGAGTTTGATGAAAAGGTTGATTACCACTGTAATACCTGTTCGTTTAGTATGAAGCTTGAAGCAGTAGCCCATTAGCTAAGCTATGCATAAAGACTGGAAACAGGAAAACAGCTGTCTAAAAGGAACCAAATCCTCCTACCAGCAATTCTAAAGCTCACTAATTAACACAATATATTCCTGGAGTCTCTGCTGGTTGACTCCAGGAAGTCACTGCTCCCGGTCAAGAAACAGTCTCACACATGACCTTTGTTTTTACACTTCCACATTTGTATGGATGAAACAAATGAGATAAACTGTATGAGTTAGCGAGCTAGCGAGTGAGTTGCTAAAGCTTCCATTATAGTGTAGATGAAGTAGGTTAATGAGGTAATGAATGTGACAGATGTAACCCGGGTGATTAATTAAAGTTTTGATAAAAACCGACTGAATGACAAATTGATTGAATTGATTGGTGACTTGACATTTTCCAACTGTTCATTTGATACTGAGAAAGCATAAATTGCAAAATCTCTGTGATATCGAACTAAACTTTATTGCACCATGTGCTGGTTCTGTGTTTAAACTCTGAAGCTGGATACACACACTATGCAGTACCAGTTAAATGTCCTAGGAGGCCTCTAGTTGTCATACCCCACCCCCCACCCCCAGCCACTATCAATTCAGAGTAAAGATAAAGCAAGCCGCATTGTACTGTAGCCACTAGAACTGTACTCCACACACGTCTACGTTATGATATATGTTAGGTTATGATATACGTTAGGAGACGAAATTATACTTTAATTATTCACAGATGGAAAATGTAGTTACAATGTTATCAGGTTTCATCAAAGAAAAACAGGGTACAGACAGGAATATAATGAACTTAGGTTTTGTATCATCAGTACTTCAGTGAAATGACAATGTAGCCTATAGATGAGATAGCGAAAGCAAAACAGCAACATTAACTGCAGCAGAACTTCATGAGAAACAAAATATTAACAGATGTTTAGCTTGAATTTTGCAATTAGTCACTGCATAAATTGAGTCATCACATTATTTATAGACTACAATAGGCCCCGTCTCTTTATGTGGCCATGTGTGCTATACATGCTCTTCATTGTCTGTTCTCATTAACATCCTCATAATTGGAATTAATGGATCTGATGGAAGTAACTCACACTCTCAAAGTGTCCTGAGATAAATGCTGACTGCGTTTGTAGAGTCGATACAAGTTACCTGCTTTACCCTAGTGATCTGAGACGAGGCTGAAAGCAAACATGGAGGGATGAGATCTCCCTGTGTCAAAGCAGCTAAAACATGTTTCAGGTTTTTCACAGTCTCCTTGGTCCACTCAGCCATTTGGCCTGGCTGTCCTCATCCAGCAATCTTTCTCATCCCACTCCACACCTCCTTCACACTGTTTTGCTGCATAATGTTTTCCCATCCTCTCACTGTGGATGTTCTTTCAATCCTCAGCTCTTCACTTGACAGTTATGCAGTTTCCTCCATGTCCCTATTCCTAAAAGCCCTCTTCTACCTTTTTAAAGGGATTTGACATTTTCAGTGTTCAAGGGTTTATTATTTGCTTGTCCCCGACCTGTTGTCTTTTATCAAAATGATTGTGTTCACACTGTAATTGATTTGTCTTGCATCTGGGAGCCCCTCTTTGTCCACTGGGTACTCCACAGAGCAGGTTTCGTATGCAGCTCTGTAAATTACATTATGGCCTCGGTGGCTTTCAGCTACACCCTCTCACTCTGTTGCTGTAGAATGATGGACACATGCAGAGAAGCTAGGTGTATCAGAATAAAATCTGATCTGCTAAAGTGTTCAAAGGGTGGTGGAGCTGTATTTATCATAGTATTTTCAAAAGCAAGTTCAATGTTTCTTTTTCCCTGTTCTCAATAAAGAAGTTATTGATCATGATACATCAATTAAGGGAGCACAAACTCATATTGTGTTGTGTGGCTCATGTCTGACTGATTTGGTGATTTGTCGTGGAAGGATGCTACTGTTCAGCATCTTCACAACTTGATCATAATTGCTGCTTTACAGCTTTAAGCCAATAACAGCTCGAAGATGTACCGCACCTCCCTCAGATGCTTGGAGATCACCAGTGACTTCATTTAACATGTACAGCATATGATCTACTGTGTGTTTCACTGGTCTGTCTGCAGTATTTTATACAAGTGCAATGTGACTCCAGCCTTTTTAATTTCACTCTGTAGGGATTAGAGTGAAGAGTAATGCCAGATTTTCAGATTTTAGAGGGGATTTTTTTTTTCAACAACAATGAATGAAATGGACCAGTCTGACTTCCACTGAAAACAGACTCTAACAATAATAGTAGTTTCTCTGTTAGACTCTGTTTTCCATGCTGCTCTTTTCTGGCCCATCACCTAAATGTACATGTATCCCTTTCTACACACAAGCCAAAAATATAAATAAGAGCAAACCTAAATGATCAGAAAACCAGTGTCACTGCAACAGAAGACGTCCCACTAAGCACAGACACATCTGGTTGCAGTGACTGTAATATAATTATCTGGTTCTCTGCCATTGCTGAATTCATAAACTACTTCCCTTCCTGTTCATTAACAGAAAAAAGAAGTGCAAACAACTAGATTAGGACAGGGTTTCTTAACCTTCTTGCCAGTCGTTCCAAAGACAGATGCATAGTTGACCAGAAATGAAATTATACTGAGGATGTACTGTGTGGTTGTAAATTAGATCACATGTACAGAAGCTTTTCAGGGCATTCTGCTATATTATTTAGTTTCTGAAGTTTGAATTTTAACACCAATCGCTTTTCTCTCTCCTGGCGATAATTAAAATGAAGGCAACGCTTTCAAAACAGCAACAACAAAAAAGAAAAGTAATGCAATTAAATTGCCTTGAAGACAGATTCAATCATAAAATGTTGTTTTGTTGAAATTATAACAAACATTATCCTTAATATTTAATATAATATTTGTGTATATATAGAAACACAGTTTGTGTAATATTTTGCCTACAACATATTTTGTCTGAAAACTGCAAAAAAAAACATTTTATTATATTTTGTTCACAAAAAGTCTTTACAGTGAAATAAAATACAAACCACCAGAGACTACAGGCTCCATAACAACAGCATAGTTGAATAAACACCTCTAACACAGTGTCAATAGCATCAAAAATGTATCATGTTTCACAAAGATTAGATCATTTTTATTACAGGACTGTTTTATTGGACTGCATTTGAGTGTACAATGTTTCCAAATAGCTGATTAATTTGTCAGAAGGTCAAATTTATGAACAAACTGCTTAAACAAAGCCTGTTACTCTGCTAAATATCTCGGTAACTGCAGAAAGTAAGCCTGTGTGTGGGTAGTAGATAGGTGTATGTGGGAGTAAGCAGCTTGCTCTTTATTATATATTTTGTCAGGTTTTAACGTGGCTTATTTGAACATTAGAATAATGTGTGTATCCTGCTACTGACATTTGATAGACTTTTGCATTACAGCAGGCTGTTTGATTATTACAAATTTGGTGTCCTGATGTGTGAGACAGTATGAAACACTTGGTCATTTCAGACTCATGCTAGATTGCGATTACAAGACAAGAAATTAGATGTTTTCTTCTTTTCTGTCTCTTCCTCTCTCTTGTCTCCTCAAGGTCATTGAGTATTTATCATTGAGCGCAACAACTGTTTATGTCTCACGTCTCCATGGATACAGTCATTTACTCAAGCAGTGAATTTGACACTTGTGTGGTATGCATGTGTACCTTTGCACATTTCCTGTCTCTCTCACATTCTCATTCCATTCCCCACACAATCTCTCTTTTTCAGCAACCAGCTCTACTCGACTGGACGATTTGAATTATCTGGACAACCAAAGGGCTGCTGGACACAGGGGCTCTGTCCGCAAACACAATACAGCTGGACGCACAAATGATGACTCCAAAGGTACTGTATTTTGTGGTTTAACCTTGGGGTGACATCGATATGTAAACATAGCTTTGTGCAGAAACATACAGTATGTGTGGAATATGTATGCAATTTCCCAATGTCACTGCTTAAATCACATTATTGTTAGCTATCTATTGTTATATAGCTTTAACTCTTTCCTCTCAATACATCCAGGGAGATTAGTGCCATTCAAACAAGCTGACATCATGCTAAAACCGCTGCTGTTTGAAGTCCCCGGCATCACTGCAGAAACTCCTTTTGTTGGTCGGGATTGGCTCTTCACACGTCTGGAGGAGGTCCTGACAAAAACGAGCAGCTGTGAGGGACGTGGGGCCGTCATTGTAGGTAACGTGGGATCTGGCAAGACTGCTGTCATCTGGCGGCTGGTGACGGTCAGCTGTCATGGCATGCGCCCACCACAGGGGGGTCCCAGCATCCTTCACAGCCCCAGCTCCTCCCCTAAATGTAAGGATGCTATATTTATTCATGGCAGTGCAATTTTGTGTGTGTGTGTGTGTGTGTGTGTGTGTGTGTGTGTGTGTGTGTATCTCAAGGCGTTGGTGTATGAACACAGTGGAATCCTAGAGGTTGAATTTAATATAATATGCTTCATTAAATTCAAATTCTTGTAAGATATTGGGGGAAATAATCACTTTCTGGGAAGCAGTTGGTAACTGGGTCACGCACTCTTCTTTCAAGTTCTCCCCTGAGGTTTCTCTGCCAATTGCAGTTGTGTAAGGGGACTGAGGTTGTTGTTTTTTTCATGAGTGGAAATGCAACTGTTCAGAAAAAGCAAAACTATAGGGTACAAAAGAATACAGTGTCATTAACTTTTCAGTATCGTGGCATTCATCACTGATATCTGTACTGTATGTTGTCATTTTGATCTAACACAGGGTATAAATGATTTGTGAGGTGCCTAAGATTGTTATTCTGCACTCTGTAAAACAAACACTCTTGTCATCATCTAATATGGCTTTGCTTAATGTCATATTTCCAGACTCGTCTACAGATGTACTAACAAACTGCAGTAGTTTAGTTGTGTTTCTTCTTCATAGATTTCACTGCTGAATTTCCTGTGCTTAGACCAGACACTTCATCTAACGAAGTGTAAATGGCAGCTTTGTGTTTGTTGTTGTTGCTTTGTGCTCTGTTCAGGTGGGGATAGGCAGGGAAAAGCAGCCTCCAAACAGCCAGCTGATTCCAAGCCAAACCAGAGTGCTGTTGCAGGAACAAACGATAGTGCAGCACAAGGGAAGGAGGCTGTCAGATGCCTAGCTGCCAAGGTACACACACATTTGCATTTTTTATGCTTGTGAGAACTCTCATTTACAGAATTCCCTCTCTAGCGCCCAATTCTAACCTTAAAGTAAAAGTTTCACATTTTGGATGTTTCTTGCTCAACATTAGATGAGATCAGTGGACTACCAGCCTCATGTCTACACACTAACTATCAAGCTGAAGCCAGGAGACAGTTACCTCATCTTAATTAACATAAAGACCAGAAACATAACCTCTACAGCTCACTAATTATCATTAGCACAAAAACAAATGTGTAAAGACGATAAATTGTGCCAGACTATTTCTTGGCCAAGACCAGTTGCCAGGCAACCAGCAGTGACTCAAGAAACTTTGAGGAACTTTTTGTTTTTGTAGAGAGCTTTTGAAGTGCCAGACAGAGCCGGCCTAGCTGTTTGACCCTTCTGCCAGTCTTTGTGCTAAGATAACCATTTGCTAGCAGTAGCATCATCATTAATGAAGAGTTGTAAGACTGGTATCAATGTTGTCAACTAACTCTCTGCAAAGATGTAAATACACCTGTTTACCAAAGTGTCAGACTAATTCTTTAACCATAAGAAGTGCATGCCTTACTCCACTTTACTTTTCAAAAAGTCCACTCTCAAGAAAAAAAAAAAGCAACAATGAAATAAATAAAGACACTGGTCCCCACAAACATACAAGAGTACACACACAACCACACAATTCACATTTGTATAGCTCTTGTTATGTATCCTGCTGCTGAGCAGACTGCTGACTCACCTGCACATATAACGCACAGAAAGAAGAAATTATATTTACAGTTTAGGAATTCCCCTAGATTTAACTTCTTGTTATAACTGTCAACTGTTGTGCATTTTTTACCTTGCGCTTCTTTCACCAGATTTGTGCATTGTGTAATATATTCTAAATGGTGCTGTAGGGAGCTATGACTGTTATAAGCCTTCACAAATAACAGGAGAGGGATCAATACAAAGAGATAAACACCCATCAGTGTTGCTCCTGTTTTTAAAAGGGCTGTGGGGCTATGCATTTGTGACACACATTTTTTATGTGAATGTTCTCTCTTTTTAAGCACATGTATCACACAGATGACATGGAAGCTTCTAAATTTACTAACTTGGCCTCAATAAGAGTTTCCATGGGAACTAGTCAGTCTACTTGTGATGGTGAGGATGTTCGCTCAACAGTAAAATCATTGATAATGTTTCTGTATAAGTGGACCACTCACAGCCTAGGCCGGGACCTATTTAAGACCTATACAGTCACAAGTGACAGCTATTAAAGATGTATATTTTTCTGCATAAATACACCTACAGTTTACAGATGACCACTATCTTGTATGCCTTTGTTCACTTTGGCTCCTTTATTGTAAAAATCACCCTTATTATTAGTGGTATGTTTTATTTCTCAGACTCTTCTTTACATTCAGCTTACTGCCTGAATAAATGAACTTGTTTGCTTAATGTGTTTTAGAGATACTCTGCAGTAATATGTTGAATGAATGTAATATATGTCATGACTCAGCTGCCTCTATGATTTCTGTTTATATTGGAACCCTTATTAAGTTTATACTATGTGATATCAGTCTTGGCGATCTTCTGTTTTTATGTCGTTCTTCTAAGGATATGTACAGATAATGTGCTCTGAACAGAAACAAACAGCATCTGGACTTGTGCAGTAATATTTTTTCCTCCCTGCCCCCACTGACAGGTCACTCAGTGCACACAATTTACCAAACACTGTGTCATTTCTTCTCGGTCATAACTCAGACAAAGCGAACACACCAACATACACACCACTTCAATCAGCTGACCTCAGTTTTTACAATAACAGCAAGATAAATGTCCATGTATTCAGCTCAAAATCTTATAACCTAACAAATCTTCGCTCATATTCATTAGATTCAGACGTTCTCTTCATTATCAAAGTGCATCAGGCCCTTGTCACACAGTTCATGGTGTGAGCATGAACTGCTGTAGCCAAAGCATCAGGACCTTTCATGATTCATATCAGGCAAAATGTAAACAAACAGGCTGTAGGCTAAAAATCCTGGTGTAAATAGTTTTAAGTTCATTATTCAGGCATTCAGCAAGTAAACCCCCTTTTCACTGGAGTAGTTGTGTTTTTATGGTGATGGCTGTGGCCGGAGGCATTATGTTTTCGGGTTGTCCATTCATCCGTCCACCCCACTCTCACGAACTTGATATCTCAAAAAGGTCTTGACGGAATTTAATCAAATTCGGCACAAACGTCCACTTGGACTCAAGAATGGACAAATTGTATTTATTATATAGTCTCAAAAGTGAACATGAAGTGGCCATGGGAGCTTTTAAAATGTTTCTAAATTTCCTACTCATTTTTTCATATGCATTTCAAACCAACGTTACATTAATTTGAGGTTTCTCCAATTAAATCCACACCCTCCATTCTTTTAAAAAGAAAAATCATACATTATGGTCCAGTGCAGTTCTGACTGGTATTTTTCCAACTTCCAGGACTATTTTCATGCAGAAAATTAACAGTTACAGCTTTCATTTAAACTGGAATACAGATAAACAGATACAGATAGCAGCTTTGCATTACACCCTGCTAATCTTCAGTTTCTCACCTGCCTCGTTTTTCCTGCCAGGTGGTAGCCTACCATTTCTGTCAGGCTGACAACACCTACACCTGCTTGGTACCGGAGTTTGTGCACAGTGTTGCCGCCCTGCTGGCCAGAGCACCACAGCTCACCCCATATAGGGAGCTACTGGTTCAAGAGCCTCACATACAAAACACACTCAGCCTGAGATCCTGTGTTCAAGACCCCATCGCTGCCTTCCGAAAGGGTATCATAGACCCCATAGCCAGCCTGCGCAAAGGTAATGTAGTGTACACATTTAAAGATAAGTGTGATATTCAGATTTAAAGACCATTTTAAAGTTGAAACTAGTATCAGTTAAAAGGTTGAAAACTATCTGCTCCACTCATCCTGCAATTAGTGAGCTTGCTGCTATCTCCTGTGTGAATTAGTCCATTATGACTCCGTGACAATCTCACAGATTATTTTCCTTAGCTAAGGTCAATGATTTGAAACACTGTAGTATGAAACAAATGTTATGTCATTTACATAAGGAAATTATGAGTGTTATTTTTGCCCCAGTGAATCATTAGCATCCCACAGGATTTCAAGGTCACAAAATACTCCAGAGAGGCTGAGTGTTACAGGCGTATTAGCCAGCTCAGTTTCTCATGATACAGTCAGTCAGATAGATGGATGTGTTATTATGGCCAGGGCCTCCACAGTCTGAGCAGAGGAGTGTTTTGTCTATTCCATCTCTATTAAGCAGGTTAGGAAAAAATGGAGAGCCCTTGTGCCCGAGTGCACGAGTCCTTACAGGCTTGTGGGGGTGCATTGATAACTTAGATGATGTGTAACATGATAGATATGTCCAGTTTCAAGCTAATAAACCACAGTGGCTTCTGGCCCCTTTCTGTGCTGGGAAACAAAGATGCACCCATGTGTAGCCACAGAAGTCTAAAATTAGCATACATTGTTTCTTTGTTTCCTTTGCTTCAACCTCTGTTTTCTCTCCTTTTTCATCTGTGTGTATTCAGAACGAAGGCTACCTGAAGAAGACTACATCATATTGGTTGACAGTCTTAATGAGGCCGAATTCCATAAACCAGACTATGGGGACACCATTGCCACCTTCATCACCAAAATAGTCGCCAAATTTCCACATTGGCTTAAATTGGTGGTCACAGTCAGGACGGGCCTGGTGGTGAGTGAGGTTTTTTTTTTCACATTACAGCCTTACAGTAATCTCTGAACCACCGCCCACCCATCCTAAAGAATCCGTTTACCTAAATTACAATTATCATATTTTCTCACTTATCTGTAGTGGTATCTAGCCATGCATCTGGCTTGCACCCCAATACAGCGGAGACAAATAGAATTTTGTTTGTGATCCTCACATCTTTGAAATACTACATGAAAAAATGTAATAGCTAAATGTATTTCCTCTGGGTGCTCTGGATCCCTTGGTCCAAAATCATGTAGGTCATGCTTTCTGGGGCACAAGATATTGTTTGTTGTAATACCGTGGGCAGCCAATGGGGTAAATTGGCAGTAAGAATGACTGGCAGCACTCTATCTTGCTTTTTCTTATATAATTGGGTCTACCCCACCTCTGTTGTTATGCTAGTGGGGATATACCCCACTAGCATAACAACATCCCAGTTTCGTTACATTTAGGCTCACAGACTATTTGGTTAGATTTTGGAAAAAACACAATGGTTAGATTAATTCAACAGTAGTGAATATTTTTAAGATTTTACTGAAACATTGGACTTTCTTTCTAGAAGTAAGTAAAGTGAGAAAATAAGACTTTGTATTTTGGATGATTCAATCCTTTAAGTTTCACCTTGCCTCACATTACCACGCAGCTCCCTGTGCACTTTATGTACTTTATGATGCTGTGCTTTTTACTGCCATAGTACAGACACTGTGGCATTTGGCACAGTCACTCTCTTGAGTCTGATGTGTTTTCTCAATCCGGTTGGTAATCCCACCAAACAGCAGACGCATCTGTTCAATGCCAAAGCCAAGTCTCCAAATGCTGCATGGATTACACCCTGAATGGATGGTAATATGACTGGCAGTCTTCTGGGAGTCTGGAGCTTGACTGCCAGCCAGCCGGTTACATAATTGTATTAGAATTTAGGGGTCATTTTCTTTATGATGCATTTAAAGTCAACAAACATTAAATATCAAATTTAACAATGAAGTACAACTGTTATCCCACCATCCCAGTATCCTAGCTCCCTGACTGGATAATTATTGTCCCTTTCCTGTTAAAGGGTTAAGTGAAGTACAGTCCACTACCACAGGTCAGTTGCTCATTGCTGAATCAAAATCTCATTTTTGTTAATAAGGAACTGAGCTGAAATAACAAAAGTTTGTATTTGGTCAGTCATAGCCGGTTTTAGCCAGTGTAGAGCAGTTGAGGATGGCAAGAGAGGAGATGAAATGTGAATCTGAGAGATGCCTATGAGCAGTGTTAGAGCTTGAGTCATTGTCACACTATTCACTGTCCTGTATCCCATGGCTCTGTGTGAGTCAGGGCAACAGCATCTGAGAAATGGTTCCTCATTTTGGTGCTTTGGTGATCAAGTTAATGCACCAGAGACATGCTACCTATAGTTAATTAAATGTTAATGCATTTATGCCTGCGTGTGCTTTTTCAACACTATTTCACCAGTTATGTATCTGTTTTCTTCTAATGCAGGAAATCACCACCCTTCTTCCCTTCTCTGGCATCTCTCTGGACATACTGCCAGACAGCAGTGATCTTGGAGCTGACCTGAGTGACTACATCCATCACCGGGTCAGCAGCAGCACCCAGGTGGCCGCTAACGTCACCACACCAACAGGCTCTGCCCCCGATCCGCTGCTCCTCAGCAAATTCAACAGCCACCTGTCAACACGGAGCCACGGTTCCATCCTGTACCTTCAGCTGACCCTGGATCTGTTCCACAAAGGCCACCTGGCTCTAAAAGGAGGAAACTACCTGGTGGTGCCTGTCTCCCTGTCAGAGGTCAGATATGTAGAGCACTGATTCCCAACAAACAAGGTTTTTCCATCAGGGGTACGAGTTCGGTTTCCAGCGTTTTCCTGGAAAGACATATTGTTGATAATCTTGGCTTGTTTGAAAAGACAGAATTTATAGAAAAGAAATGATGTCTCAGTTGCAACAAGAAGTTGCAGCTAGCTAAATTGATGGATAAATTGAAGTAGATGACGAAATATTGGATACGTAGCTTAATAAAAGTATTGATTGAACAATGGAAATAGTTAGATTAAGTGATAGATAAAAACATCTATCATCTGCCACTCCAAGTGATAATGTGTTAAGTTACATTTGATGAAATGTTGCCACCAAAACGTGGAGCAAAACGTGTTTCATTAAGTGGTCAGTTCACTTAATATGTAGGTTTAATCCTCTAGAGCTAACAACATATCTTACCTGAAGTGTATTTTTGGACCTTCCCACCTCCTCCTCACCTGGTCCACTGTCCACTCTTAACACTTTTCAGTCATCCCAGTGAGCTGTGTGCTGTAAAATGACATCTCACCTGAGGCTGAGACAATGAACAGCCATAAAATCCCCACACAAGGTACACAGCAGCAGCCGATTTTGGGGCATGTTTTTCACAAAAAAGGGAAACAGTATTCCTTGCGCTATTCAGATCAATAAAAAAAAAAATATCATGCTAATAATTAAGACTCACAAGCGTGCACCTCCTCATGGACAGTTCATCAGTGTAAAATTAGTGATTTATGAGTTAAGTTTGTGCAGTGCAGTCAAGAGAGTCTGATGAATCTTAGAACACTTAATATAAATTTCCAAAAATAGCCCACAGTGACTAAAGTAAATGGCAGATGTATTTTAATATTGCATAATTATCAGTGTAAAAAAGGATGAGCAAGTGTTAATATACAAACAGATGCGCAGAAATACTTAATAAACTCTTAATATACAAACAGATGCGCAGAAATATGAGAACTTAATGACTGCATTATGAGATGTTGAGGAGCATGCATAAAGTTATGCTAAAGACCTGTAGGCCGGACAGTGACAGTTAAATACTGTAGAAGTACAGTATGGATCATTTAGTAGATATTCATAGATCTTCTCAAAATGGTTCCAAATGGCAGGACTTCTATTGAAATGAATGCTTACAAGAATGATTAACAGGTTTAAAACCTTTGTGTTTGCCAACATGGTGTTGCACAAGAGCTTCCAAATAAGTTAATATTTTGAAATGATTTATTGTTAGTTTAATGTAAGGTGTCATCATTTAGTTTTAAACTCTGCAAAAAAAAATTTGCAGTTTTTTATTGTTTTATTAGTTTTGACAACCTGAAAATCTATTAGTCTCACATGCTAATTTATAAATGTCCATCAGGTGTACCTGCTGATGTGTCGTGTGAGCTTTCCGGATAAAGAGGTCTTTGAACGGGTACTTCCGGTGCTAAATGTGGCACTGGCATCTCTGCACCCACTGACTGATGAACAAATGTTCAGAGCACTGAACGCAGGCAGTGTGAGGGGAGAGATGGAGTGGAAGGACTTCCAGCAGAGATTAGACAGCCTGGCTGGATTCATGGTAAGACTGCATGGAAGGGTACACAACGGTTCAAGCTTTTGTTTGGTTTGAAAGTCATGTTTGTTTTGCTATGAAGTATATCCGAAATGCTAAGGTTGGCAGCTGGACTTGCTTGAGATTCTTCAAGATGTTTCACATCTCATCTGAGAAGCTTCTTCAGTTTTGACTGACTGGCGAGGAGTCCCAGGCATTAAACTTCTGTGCAGCCGTTAACATTCGGGGCCCTGGCACCCACCAGTTGCCAACCTTAGCACTTCGGGTATTACCATGACTTGAATAACTGAGAATCTCCACAGACATTTTGCTGTGAATTAATAACTTTATTTATACAGGACTTTTCAAAACAAAGTGCTTTACATGGTTCAGAGTGGGATAATATGATCTTGTCTTCTTGTATTTGTTAAAAGCTGAGCAGGTGAATTTTGTACCAGCTGAAGGCATGACATTTTTTTTTTTTGGCTTAACCCTGAATACAAATAATTCCACTAATCTAACTGAGGCAGCGTGTATGACCTTCTCAAGATCTGGTTGAGAGAGAAAAGACCAGATTCTTTTCAATGTTCCTCATTTAATAAAAACATGATTGAATGAATTTTGTAACTTGTTTGTCTAATATGAGGTCACCGTCAAATAAAACACCTAGGTTTCTGACTTCAGATTTTACATTTGTAGACAGGGAGCAAAAATGTTCGTGTACTGTCTGTGTGGACTTTGGAGGGCCAAAGATTATGATTTGTGTGTGGGTTTTTTCTTTTCATTTAGTTTTAGGACATCCAGCAATGTATTTTATTCAGACAGGATAATGTCAGAATATTTACTAAACAGGAGGGAGGCAAGGATAGAGCCCTGGGGAACACCAAAGGTCAGTATGGCTGCCAAGGAGGAGGTGTCACCAAACACAACTAAAATGTTATTTTTGCTAAGTAGTGTTTTGTTTTAGTCCAGTGTAGCATCCCTGTTGCCAACCCATTTTTCAGTAAAATTGAACAATCAAAAGCTGAGCTGAAGGTAAAAGATCATTAGTAATTAGTACATCATTTACATTTACCTGCAGGAATTTAAAGGTAGTATTTATCTAAAGGACTTACAGTTTGTGGATGGACTGTAAGGGGCAAACATGTCAATTCAATGTACTTTTAGACTTAAGAAATTTTCCGTATTATTTGTGTTTGCAGGTGAGACGCAGGGATGGCACACGGATGCTATGTCACCCCTCCTTCAGAGAGTAGCTAGTTTGGAGAGGAGATGGAGAGAGCACAGACTTTCTCTGTGACCCTAGGTGAGACTACAAATCAAAGGTCATGCAGCAGAAGATTCTGAAGATGCATGCACCATAAGTTGTCTGTAATATAAAGTGTGTAAACCCTTGTTGAAAAGGAAGCTTGTTAGTTTAAAAAGTTGGCCGATGCATGCGTGCCAGATCTGATAAATAAGTACTCGATGCATGTCCACAGGAGCGGCCATGCTCTCTTGGCCTTCATGTTCTCCAGACAGGAGGGCAAGCTGAACCGGCAGCAGACTATGGAACTGGGACATCACATTCTCAAGGCTCACATATTCAAGGTAACAAGAACTGTGATACTATGTTTATAACTCGTTACGTAGGTTTGTGACCAGAAATGAATGAATGTACTGTACCTAAACCCTCCTGAATTTTCTCGATTCCCAAAGTCCTCACATAAACAAGATTCTGCGCTTAACTGCATATTATTGCACAGAAACACACAAATAAGAGTGAACCCTTCTCCTTAATGCCCACACACATTAGCACTGCTCTTATACATAAACGCCCACAGTACAGTGAATATTGTACTGCTTGCATGCATGGTTCGTACTCTGTGCATACTGCTTTATACTCCTGAGACACAATTCAAATTCAGCACCATGGATTTCATGTCAGCTGGTTTAATCGCTCTTTCTGCCTCTGTCTATCTGTCTCTCTCACACAATCACAGGGTCTGAGTAAAAAGACAGGTGTGTCCTCCAGTGTACTTCAGGCCATGTGGGTGAACTGCAGTACAGACAGCCTCTCTGCTGCTCTGGCCTCCCTGAGGAACCTATATACACCTAACATCAAGGTGACATACATATGCTCTACATTAAAAAGATAACAGTCATACACCCAAATGTATAATGACATAGATATACTATTGATTATATTCATCCTGCAGGTAAGTCGTCTGTTGATGCTAGGTGGCGCTAGTGTGACCTGGTGTACAGAAGTGGTAGGACATGCCCCCATCCTGGCTGTGCATGCCCACCTGGGACATGTGGAGATGGTAGCTCTGCTGCTTGAAATGGGCGCCCCTGTAGACGGGACCACTGACAGCGGCATGACGCCCCTCTGTCTGGCCGCCGCTGCAGGACACACCGAAATTGTCTGCCTGCTCTGCAAGAAAGAGGCCAAGGTCTGGGTCATTTCTGTACAAAGAAGAGAAATAAGTGTGGATGCGGAGGTTGTGAGCAGAATAATTAGCATGACAGATCAATCTGTCAAGTCTACGTTCACCAGTTTCAGGATCTATTCTGGGAGAGAGATGACATAAACAGGCCTGCTCTAGGCCAGTGTATTACAGGCGCTGGTCAGGATCAGTGTTGTAAGTACTTCTGTGTACTCCTCTGTGCCAGGTGGGCCATGCTGATAAGAGCGGCCAATGTGCACTGGTCCATGCTGGGCTGAAGGGCCATGTAGAAATCATCAACATCTTGCTGGGCCAGGACTGGGCAGCAGAGATCCCCACTGACCCACAGCAGCAACACAGCAATGAGACTGTGACTGGGAAAACGCAGGCAGCACAGCAGGCGGTTACAGCTGCAGCTAGTGTGGGACACATTCAGGTACATATCAGCCCAAGGTCCTAATGACAAAAAAAAAATTCAAACACTTGAAATTATTTTTTTATGTTGTGCATGGTACCTCTCTTTGCTTGATGTTGAAGATTCAATAGGCGCAGTTAGCTCAAGGTCTCTGGGTGCTTTGGTTTTATTTCTGCACAGCAAGCCAGCAATACAGAGGACTGTAAAATTGTGTTTTCCTGCAGGTGGTGAAGAGCTTGCTGGACGTGAAAGATGAACAGCTGGCAGTGCAGATGGATGCTCACGACTCTCTCTGGGGAGAAACGGGTGCATTTCTCCTATCAGTCAGATAAATGCAGCTTTCTCACCTCTTTCTGTCCATCACTGCGGTTCCAGAGTCACGCTCAAGGGCTTTAGGGTTGCATTTCAGGGACATTCTGACTCTGTACAAAGAATATTAAGCAGCCAATATACCTGTGTATGGATGCACTGTGAGCTCTCTGAACGGGAATACAGTAGACACTAATTGGTTTCATTATTATGATTTTAGGATGCTCTGGTTGACATCAAAAAGTTGATTGTAAGTAGTTTTTGTTTTTGAAAGAAATGGAGCTTCACATTGATCACACAGAAAATCTCGCCCAGCCACGTTTGTAACATCTAAAAAGCATTTGTTATTCAATTGTAATACTTTTACCTCTATCATCCATGTGATAGCGTGGCTGGCTGAATTCTGTTAGGTCTATTTCCTGAAAGCATGACGAAGCCTGTTTCTCTGCCTACAGCCCCATTAGAGTTGTAATTCTATTACACAGTCCCCTCCAGTGCTGAGATGGAACAAGTGAGAGCAAGAAATGTCCTCTGAAACATTCACCTATTCATGTACAGTCCAAAGGTTTTGGTTTATGTTTATGTTTAGTGTTTATATCATTGGATTACTGCCCATTTGCACAGATATAATAATCAGTCAAGAATACATGTTAAATTCTGATTACTGAAACAGGGATTTCTACTTCTGCATTCTAACCAAGACTCTAGTGCTTATGGGTTATGACACTGGTTCAGTTTGCATATTTATGGCAGCATCTTACCTTAAACAACTAGACTGTTTTTTTGTCTCATATATGACAGTAGCTTCGTTTTACAAGCAGCACTATACAGTCAGTTTGTTCACCGAAGCTTGTGGTTATATGAAATATGGTGTTATTTATCAAGGATATTTGGAGGTTAGAGAATGCCATCAATATTGTGCTCTATCCCCAGCTGCCCAATTAGCTGACAGATTTGCATACTTTAAAAGGGACCATTGCCCATTATTTGTCAAAGTAACACTGGCTAGTTAGGGAGGTTATGGTTATTTTGTGTCTAGAGTTGGGAATAGTTACATTTTGCTTCCTTTTGTTATTAAAGGAGAAGAAAATGCTGCCAGATTTGAGCAGTTTTGATTCTTACTGCTTGTCAGCTATCTAGATTGGTATTAAAACAAAAAAATATTTAAACACTACCTCCGCAAAAAGAAATACAAAGAGCTGCTATACATGTGTTAGAATCAAATACATTAAGGAAATAACTGGCTTTGGTTTTCTCTGTTTCTCACTCTTGCTTCTCCTTCTTTCCTAAATCTGTCGATTACATATTCTCCTCTGCCTCGTTATGTCATCTTTATGCCGACCCTCTGCCAGTGCTGAGCGCGGCAGCAGGGAGAGGGAGGATGGAGATGTGTGCGTTCCTCCTGGAGCGGGGGGCAGGGATGGAGATTCCAAACCGCAGAGGAATGGTCCCATTGCTTAGTGCCACCAAACACAGACACATGCAGGTGATGACAAGTCTGGTCACTGGTACAGGGAGTTTGTCATTTTACCAGTTTTGCCCCCCACAACCACACACACACACATGCCCAGTGGAATCATTGTCGTCCTTTTCCCAGGTTGCCGAGTTGCTTCTGAATCAGGGTGCAGATATCAACGTCAGCGACAAGCAGGGTCGCACTGCGCTGATGCTGGCTGCCTCTGAGGGCCACGTGACCACTGTTGAGCTCCTACTGTCAAAGGGTGAGATTTCCCATCTTCCCTAGTGATATCCAAGGATGTTTGGTGAGAACAGTATTTTATTAAAACAATATTTGTATGGTTTGTGGTCCCAGGTGCTTCTCTGTCCTCTGCTGACCAGGAGGGGCTTACTGCTCTTAGCTGGGCCTGTCAGAAGGGCCAGAAAGCTGTGGTGCAGCTTCTGGTTGAGGCAGGTGCAGACCTGAACCAGCCAGACAGACAGGGACGGACTCCTCTTGATCTGGCTGCTCTTAACGGGGATGCAGATACAGTGGGTTTTAATGCTGTTGTCTAGATGGCATCATGTTTATCATGGAAAAACAAATATAGAAGTCTGTCTTTATTTGAAAAACTAAATTATTCCTTGTATTCCTTGCTAAAAAGATTCATTTTTTCCCTCTACAATGGATATTTAATTTATGGAGAATTGTATACTTGACATTAAATGTCGTAATTGTTCAAATTTGATTAGTACAGTGCACCAATTGTCTCAACATTTTAAGCTATTTTAGGCAAATGAAATAAGTCATAATTACAGAGATAATGATAATTATCATAATTTGCTCTGCTGCACAGTACGTCAATGTGCAATCACACGTCATGTGGTGTAAATAAGCTTCCAATCATTTTGACTGTAATCTGTCAATCAGCAGGAGATAATCAAAACTCTCTGATGATCACAGTTTCAAAGCAGACAGCTTTCTTACTAGCTGCTAAAGCAAGGAAGCTTACGGTGTGGAATCAACCAAATGATTCAAATATTTAACTTTTTCTTTGCTACAATATTAAATGTAACTATAAATGTAATATGATGATATTCTGCTCATGGCCAGGTGCACTGCTTGGTGGAACATGGAGCCGTGCTGGAGAGAGCCGACAACAACGGTACCAGAGGTTCAGACAGGACGACCGGCTGCCAGAACCCGGCTCTGGTGGCCTCACTGCTTAAGAAAGGATCCAAAATGGGTATAAACACCATGTTTGCTGTACTAGTCTTGCAGTAAATCACACTTCTGTGAATTTTATATTCAAGATAAAATGTTCCAAAAACCCTTTAATATTATAACCCGTTCTAACGCTGGTTTTCCAAAGTGCTGTATCAAAAATGTTTTACATGTGGCACAGTTAAACAGCTGTACAAACAGCTGTACAACCTCTAAAACGAGCATACAACAACAAGTCTCTGACATCTGAGACCTTGGATAGTTTGTACTCTGTGCTATACTTTTTCACATGCATGCGCTGCGTTTCTATGACTTAATGCCTTTAGGTGGCTCTTTATTAGGTACACCTGTCACTAATGCAGTCTAATACAACAGTTCTACAATAACTCCTCCCTCCATAAACTACAGCCTCCAAAATGACTATCCAGTGGAATCAACACCTCTCTAAAGCAGTTTGAACAAAAACTGAACACCATCCAGGGTTATTGGCTTAGACTGCATTAGTTACAGCATGATATACCTGATAAACTGCGAGTATATTTCACTGGTTTACTTCCATACAGTATATTATTAGTCTGTGCTGCAGCAACTGCGGGTTTACACCCACTTCTCTAACTCCCTCTGTCTCTTTTCCCATCTTTGGTTGATCTTCATCATATGAAAGGCTACAGAACAGCACCACATGATCGATCAGGTACATGATTTACATAATTCAAAGTAAGAGACCGGGCAAAATGGGTAATAGAAAGATAAATATTTGTATCACTCCATCAGGTCACGCTACATGGGCTATGGCTTCCTCCAAACCGGACATTCTCATCATCCTGCTGCAGAAGTTGATGGAGGAAGGGAACATGCTTTACAAGGTATGTTATAAACAGTGTGGTGTGAGGGTGGGGCAAACCTTGCAGCCTCTAAATACCCATTTTAATAGGCTTTAAGTGGGGTATTTTGTTGATTACTTCCACTTTTTGCCTGTTTCTTCCTCCCCTCTTCCTGTGCATTTCTCAGAAGGGACGTATGAAGGAGGCAGGCCAGCGTTATCAATATGCCCTAAGGAAGCTACCTCGAGAGGGGCAAGGAGAGGAGCTGAAAGGTCTCAAAGACCTACGGGTCTCCCTCTATCTAAACCTTTCCCGCTGCCACAGGAAAACCAATGTAAGGCCCACAGTTCTATCAAACTGCTCACACACTATTTAACACTAGGCTAGTTTATTAGACGAGGGGATGGCAGGAGGGCTGGAAGGAGGAGATAGACGGTTCCTTGAGATATATTACTTATCTGGATGAACATGAAAGGGTAATGTCAGCGCTGCTATAGCGCACAGTAAAAATACCTCTGCTTTTCACATCTAATTTCACGTCTCCCTGGTAAACAGAATGTACAGAATGTGTAAGACCTGTAAGCAGGTGGTGACATAATGAATAACTGTGCGCTGTTAGTGCAAAGATAGATGTGCGTGGCCTGCGGCCAGGTTTGGAACTCACCCTGATGATGACAGATGTCCTAACAGACTGTGTAAAAATGCCATCCTTGGGGTCAGTATGGTCGATGAATAATGGAGCAACTAATATGAGGCGATAAGGTCACTCTCCCTCTTGGAAACCAGTTTCTCTGCAAGGCGCTATTTACAGTGGATGTGCAAGTGAGCTGGCTAAATCCACATCTTATATCAGAATGCATGCCAGCAGAGAGACGACATGATACCATCATTAAACATTCAACAGCAATGTTCACAATCTCACATTCAAGGCTACCAGTTTGACCCCCCTGTCAAGGACAGAATCACAATGCGTTTGTGCCATTACATATTCAACCTGAGAGTGATGAGAGCAGTAAAAAACTGCAGAAAAACAAGCAGCTCTCTGTGAGCTTCTCTCCTTCACTGTCTGCTCCTGATCAATAAAAAGGATTGCGGCATGAGTTATGTTTTATTAAACAGGCTTCGATCCTCACATCCATATGATGAAGATGCAAACACTATTTTTACTAGAATGGCCTTAGTTTATTTCTGCAAAACAAACCTTCTCTACTCTAGTCCTTTAAACACACGGCAGTACAGGGAGATTGTTTTTACTGAGTGCTCTGTGCAATGTTTCAGTTAAAATGGAAATACTAAAGAGGCTTTTCTACCGGAAAACACAGGATTTTGGCATAGCTGAAGAGTTTGCAACAAAAGCCTTGGAACTCAAACCCAGATCTTATGAAGCGTATTACGCCAGAGCGCGGGCCAAGAGGAGCAGCAGGTACAATGTTAAATTTAGTTTATTATTTCAAAACTATTTTCAAAGTTATTCTTGTGAGAATTAGCGATGCACAGGGATGTTACATCTCTGTGGTGGTGCAAATTAATTCTTTTTAAAGTTCCTTTTGTTCATGTTCTTTGTCCGCTCCAGGCAGTTTGCTGCAGCACTGGCAGACCTCCACGAAGCAGCAAGACTTTGTCCATCTAACCGAGAGATACAGCGCCTGCTGGCACGAGTAGAGGAGGAATGTAAACATCATCAGAAGACATCTAGCAATAATTCAATACAGGGTTACAACAGGGACCCACACATCTACAGTGATCAAGGCACAGAGGACGAGACCGACGTCTATTCACAGGGAAGTCTAGAGAGGCAAACCCCTGCAGAGCAGACTGATACTGAGAAGGAGGAAGAGAAGGAGGAAGGTGAGGAGGTGAACCTAGAATGTGAGAAAAGCCCAGAATTTTGGCCTCTGAATCCATACGCTCCAAACAGGACTCTCCCAGGAAGTGTGGCCTTTGGTTTAATAGATCAGGCGCCATTTTTTCCTCAACAAGAGTATGTACAGAACCAACTGACTGTGGACATGCCTGAATCTGTTCCTGCTATCAGCAGACAGGGCAGCAGGACTCATCACCACTGCCATTCCCTCCAGTCAGGGAGCAGAGTCGGGGGCAGGCCTCTCTCTCTGTGCGGTCCCTCCAGTCCTCTGCCAGGCAGACACATCTCCACCTCTCTGAGGCCTGCACCAGTGCTCGGTATTGAGATCGGCCCTGGATCCACCAGTGAACACTCTGGACACAGCCCCACTGAGCACTATCACCCTATGTCCCCTAACAGCTCCTCCCCACCTGGACCTCTTCAGATGTACCAGCCCCGAGCCTCCAGCTTCTCCCGGGGTTCTGACAGACTCTCCACCCACTCTGTGGCTCTGGATAGCCTGGCTCTTGCATTGGGGTCTGGTATGGAGGTTAGGAGGGAAGGCGGAGGAGGGGGCACAGCAGGCTCAAGAGGCTCTAGCTCCAGTCAGGCCTCCAGTGGAAATCTGTCAGACAGTGGCAGGCAGCAGGTGCTGGATGCCCCGTGCCCCATCAAGAGCAGCGGCAGCTTCAAGACAAAACCCGAGCTAAAGCCACGGCCATTCATGGGAGTAACGGACAAAGCAGTGCGAGTCCAGGGGAAACAGACCTCTGGCCTGAGCCGACAGGGTGGAGTAGGGGTGGAGAGTTTCAGTATGTCAGTCATGGAGTTCCAAGGACTCAACAGTGAGTTCAAGCAAGCCTCCTTCCAAGAGCAGCTCTGTGGAAGTCAGGCCAACAGCCAGCAGAGCCGGGAGTTTGGAGAGAGGCTCCACCAACGAGATGCCAGAGGCACCACATCCTCCCAGCTCCGCTGCCCTGATGGGAGGCCCAGACAGGCGAGCCTAACGAGAGACAACCCGGCTCTGCACACGGCTCCCATCAAACCCAAACGCTCATTTATAGAGTCTAACGTCTGAATATAGTTTATCAGAGCACAGATACAGGCCGTTTCCAACAACCTATGTCACACATAAGGTAGCAAGAGAGACTGGTTTGAGAGCAGATCCCATCCCCGAGCCTATTTTGTTACACTGCATTTACAATCTAGAACCAGTTTTCAACTCAGGCTACTATGCTTTTGCTTACATGTCTACAGCTACAGTAGTGTATTCAAGAAAACCAGACATACCTTAAGTAGGGGTTAAAAAAAAAGGTAGTACATTGTCTCAAATTTTAATTTATTAAATCTAGTTATCAGAAAAGGCTTTGTGCATGAATATACAAAACCTCATGCTATTAGCTGCAGGATAGGACCATTTCTATTGTCAAGTGTCTTAAAAAACATTTATATTTGTACGTGTACACTATATTTGCAGATGATATATTTCCCTGTAAGTGGTTATCTGTCAGCATTGCAGACTTCAAGAGAAATGACTGTGTACTTGAGATTCTTTTTTCTTGGTACATTTGATAAAAATGCAAAGTAATGACATTGCTGAAAACGTCTTATTTTAACCTAATATTGAATTGACAGCTTCAATATTCACAGTATATGTCTTTTTATTTTTGCATAGCACAGAACATATTCATATCAAGTGTTTATTGGTTTATTTGGACAAAGGGAATTTACACATGGATGAAAGACCTTAAGAGACTTTTACACTGCTGTATGTCCATAGTCGTCGTATTCCCTTTTCAGTCAGTCATACTATGGATTGCAGAATGTTACCACGTTATTATGGTGGTATAATAAAACATTAATAGAGATTTACATTTCGGCTTCTACTTCTACGTGAGAATCCACAAGTTGCTGCAATAAGCTTCATGAATAAAGGGTCTTGTCGATTCACAATCCAAACCAAACTTATCTGAACTGAAACTTGACCAAGCCATCAAAATAAACTAGTCATGCACATTGCAATTTTTGAAAATTGTGGAAATGTCCTCAGTAATTTCACTAAATGCTGGACGTTGCACAGGGAGGTAAACCCTACACTACTGTGGCCACGCACCAGAACCCATGGGGTTTGTAATACGCAGGGTCCAGCAGTATCCAGGCAATCTAGCAAACACACATATATAATGCTTATGTTGGAGTTTATAAAAAAAAAAAAACTAGACAATGTGAGAGGATTGTTGCTGATCCAATGTCAAACCAACACCCTAGTCTGTAGTTCAGTGTAGTTTCCAGACAAGTAATCAAAATGCACAGAACACTAAGCCTCCGAATTAAAGTTAGTTTTTTTTAAGTACGTTGTTTAGCTTTGTTCATAAGGACCTTTGATATATACAGTTGTGTGCACAAGGTCAGGCAAGTTACACATTTTGTTGCTTTTGTGAGAAGAAGGTACAACAGTTGGTTATAGCTATAACATGCTAAGATTTAGCAATTCTTCAAATGTTAAAACACTTAATTTTCATTTCATTGCCTTTAAACCTAAACAGTGATGGAGAATATTTGAAAGTTTGAGACCAGATATTTTTCTGAGGCGGCAGACCAAACCGGAGCTAAAAGCAAACAAACACTTTGTCTACTTTGTGTTCTAACATGTTACCCATAAGAACGTGATGTCGGTTTGTCTTTGTGCTAGATGAAACGCTAGTGGCTGGTCCTCCAGCGTCCAATAGCCATCTTCAAGGTGTGGTTAGGGGTGAGCAGAGTGGTCAGTAAGGGAAGGTTGGTCATTGGGCTGGACCGGTTCTTGGTGTTTATCCAGCTCTCAATGGCCTCTCTTTCATACGAGTAGCCATCTATTGGAAAATGTCCACAATACACTGAAATTAACTAATTAAATTAACTTTGAAGAAACAAATGCCATGACACCAACTTCCATGTTATGGAACACTGTGTAAATTGTGTTATGAGTAAAAGGTCTGATCTTCACTTACCAGCAGCAATGACTGGTTCCTTCATCAGCTCCCTGGTGATTGGACACA